ATAGCGTGATATGAGTTTAGTGACGAATCGTTTTCCAGTGCCTCCGCCTCCAAACTCCCCCTACACGGCCCGCTTCCAGTAAAAAACGAAGCTGCCAGGCGAAACTGCCATGGAAATCGTCACTTGTGCGGTCGTAGAGTGCTTATCGGAGAGTCAGCCGCGCAGATGAGGGCGCATTGCTGGAGATGGAGTTCATTGGGCACTTACAAACTGGGATCGAAATGGGGTTCTATCTAGGGCAGTTGGACATGTTTTTTTCTGCTTTTTTCTTCACTATCGAATTACTCAGCACCTTGTCGTCTATATGCAAACCCCTAACTCGCTATCTGTGATGGCAACTGATTGCGGGATTGCCTTAAGGGAGTTGGGTAGACTGTTCCCGTACCTACCGCCTTCAGTTATGTTGCACGTGCGCCAACCTTGGAACTTTATCAGCTCGAACGCTGAGGAACAAATAAGTAAATAAATCAATCGCGATTATCCACCAATTCAACCAGCTGCATGGACTGCAAAGCAATTTGTAAACAATTAAATTCAAAGCGAAAAGTGAGATTCTGACATGACCAGTTACAAAACTCCAATGACTTGATGCCAATGGCAAGGTAAAAAATTATGGTGGGCAACACGCTCTCATATGAAACTCCGAGGAGTGAAAAATGTCTGACTGCGCATGTATGTCACGCAGTCCATAATTTCCTAGTTGTCAGTTCTGGTTCTCGCGAAAGCAGGCTCTCTACCCGGAGACGAGCAAAAAGTAAGAAAAACAGGTTGGGATTGGAGGATAAGTGTGGGCAGGAGAAATTTCTGATAATATTGAAAATTAGCTAGAGCATCATTCATTTATTGCACATCTGGTGAAACATAAATTCTCTAGATCATCCGCCAACAAAGCTGTTCCTGCAGTCGGATCTCATGATACACTTTCCATTGTCACGAACGTAACCATCGACACATCGACAGGCTGGCGTTAAGCAGATGGGAACACAGGGCTGAAAAGACTACGCTTTAGTTGTTTAGGAGGAATAGAGTAGATAATGATCAATCCAGGTACACACAGTGCTTATCGGAGCGTCAGGTGGAGGCGTCTCAACGTACATTAGTTGTTCGGAAAGGAATGCGCGTTTGAGTGTAAAAAATTTTTTATTATAAAAACGAAATTAAACAAGGTCAATCTAAAAGATAATCTCCATTACTAGCAATGACTTGTTGCCAACTGTACGCAAAAACTTCGCCAAAAGAGCCTCTTTCACTACTTTTCCCCTCGGGTGTGTCGTTAGGTCCGGCCCCGCCCCCTCCCCCCCGCCGCCCTCGCCCCCCCCTGGCCCCCCCGGGGGGGGGGGGGGGGGGGGGGGGGGGGGGGGGGATACTCGGCCTCAGAAGCAAAAAAAAAAGAGGGGGGGGGCGAAAGGGGGGGGGAAAAAAAAAAAAAAACAAAAAAAAAGCATAGGCCAACACGGAAAAATTTTTTTTGCCGGGGGGGTTCTTGATTTTTTTGTTGTTTTGTTCGTTTGTTTGTTTTTTTGTCTTATTCCTTTTTTTTGCTTTTTTTCTATGTTTGTCACCTTATTTTTTTTCTTTTTTATTTTTTCAAAAAAAAAAAAAAAAAAAAAAAAGGTGTCGGGGGGGGGGGGGGCGGGGTGGGTCAAAAGAGCCTCTTTTTTGCCAGTTTTCTCGCCGAGTGTGTCGCTAGGTCCGCCCGCTGCCCCTGTGAGCCGAGTGGGTCATTAGGTCCACCCAAGTGCGTCGTTAGGACTTGCTTGAAGTCTTACCACATACAAGCTCGCATTCGAAATTTTTGGTCGAGCATTTTCTAAACTTTTTTTTTCTAAAAAAACAAGGTAGACATAGAAAATATATCAAAAGATGCGCAATAAAAACCTCTCTCTAATGGACAAAACTGTTTTGAAAATCTCCTATAGTAGAAGAGAAATAAATACGATCAAAGTCAACAGCGCATCGTCCTTTCCAGAAACAACCTAATACATAAGTTTTGGGCGGCGCCGAAGCCTATTTTCCATCAATGGCAGCCGCCTTACAGTGAAAACCACTGCTTGAAACAAGCTGGCACCCCGCACCAAACGCATGTACGTACGCAGGAACGCATACACATGCGTAATCGATAGCGACTAACATCTCTGCCCATTTAACACTGTTCTTGACATGGTTGTTAATTGAGAGAGCTTATTTTCCACCTCGGAGCGCTAATTGAACCATAAGATCGTAAATAAAGCAACATAGATAAGCACTGAGGACGACGTGAATAGCATGTATTCTCCCAAGCGATGAAAGAATATCAGTTCTGTGGCTATCAGTGGGTTGATTTCCTCGCGGATCTATCACCTGTTGAGGAATCGCAGAAGAGGCATATGCGTAAAGTTGGGATATCCAGCAATTAGAGTCTTTTCTGATCGCTGGAAGGAGGGGTCATATTTGAGTTGTGTTCAACTCGTATTTGACAGATATTTTCGTAGGAGAAATTGCGAGAAAGTGGGGGGGGGGACGTTTGTCGCGAAAATTTCGAGCGCGACGAAGGCCTGCTCGACAGAGCCGACGTTTTAGGGAGGCGCGCGAAAAGAAAGTGTGGATATAGATGCTGGTCGGTCGCGCTAGAGATCTGGGGAAGCCGGTGTTTTGGACGAATCGGCGTTTCAAAGGAGGAGCTGGCCTTATTAGGGAGAATCGAGCGCAACGGTGAGATTATGTAATGGCGATCGGCGCCGGTCGGCTTGTTTCGAGAGTAGGGGGAGGGAGAGAGAGGGAGAGAGAAAGGAAGAGAGAGTCAAGAGAAAGAGGAGAGTGCGAGAGTTTCCAGACTAATGTTAGCGCTAGAAATTACAAAGGGCATCGAAAAGGTAAAATTGTCTGCTCGCCAGATTCGCTTCAAAATAAAAAGGAGGAACTCCGCCATTTTCAAGGGAAAGAGTGCGAGAAGGGCTGGATTCAACGCCATTTTTTCTAGCAACTCTTGCCGGTTCAGAATGGCATCACATACTTGGAAAGGCTGCTTTGGCTGCGCTCCGATTCACCTTCAACACCCCCGACCATTGCGTCGCAAGGGGGCTATACTCCTACTATTACTCCCACTAATCAACGGTTCAAAGCTCTCAAGCCAGATGAAAAGGTCTAATGTTTTCATTGTTGCACCAACAATTTGAGAATGATTCTTTCTCGTCTATGAGCGGGAACAGCTCAACATCTTTTGGAGAAGGCAGCACATACCACAGCGGGTCCACAGGTCGGTTCACAAGACGGGCATCGAATGAACTCTTCATTGGCTCCACATGCTGAAAATACATTAGTACACTGGAATCACCAACTCTATGTGTTACTCCCACGAATGTAATGAACCAATATTTGTGCAGCGTGAACAAACTGCACATCCACTTCCGAAGCTGCCTGACACAGCTGCCAATCCATTCTTCTTGTGCTTGTCATGCACAAGAAGAATGGATTGGCAGCTGTGTCAATGTAACGCCTTCGGCATTGGAGAGCGAGCGGTAATGAGGCTGAAGAGTAGTGATGCTGAGTGCCGTTTGAGACTTCGCTGCATAATCTCCAAAGTCCAGAGCAGGCGTTGACATTCACGGCGAAATATGTCCTGGGTGGTGGAACAAGAAGGCATGAGAAGGTGCTGATAAGAAATGCGTTTGGTGATCGTTAAGCGTATAATTGGCAGGGGGAGCAGCGCAGGCAGAGTCCCGAACGGCAATGGTGTGACACCACCGTCCAGCCCCATTCCCCTGCACTCAACCGGGAAAGTGGCACGCTACCGCAGCTACGCTCGCACATGGCAAGGACCCGTGAGGGCATAGTTTGCCTTTGATTTGCGGACAACCTAAAACGTCTCTGTATTGGGCTAGGAAGCCCCGTTATGGGGCTATTATGCAACGGCAAATAATCTAATTGTTTTCTGAACTCTGTAGAGTCTAGGTCGTGATACCATAATACTTTACTCACTGGTATTGAAACAGCCAAACGTGTCGTTATACTCGATACATTCACCACTGGCACAGAGTGCGGCAGCACACGGACCTGAAAAACCTTCCGTCTACTGCTGGTTGCCACGAAAATTTATTTTATAGTAATTGATGAGGGTATGTAATTATTCTAGTCCTTTCAGTGAATGGAGCTAATCAATCAACCACGCAAGAA